GAATTCGCCCGAAACAATAGTCGGCGTTGATACACATTTGTAGTGTGGTCAGCATTCCGCCACTGAAAAAACGTCTGGCACCAAAAGTCCGAAGAAAAGCAACGTTGAAGACAAACCAAAAACACACCTCCGTAGGCCACGTGCGAGGTGAACGGGCGATACTTTTTTGCCCGCACTCACTCCTGCTCGTTACCTGCACGTTGAGAGCGGAGCAGTGGCACGCTACTGCAGCTGCGGATCCATTACGTTGCACTGAAAAAGACCGAAGCGAATGTACAGGTGGTAGGTCTTTGACTTGCCAGAGATCCAGCCTGATATCCGTTACCGGACCGTGCTCTTACTAGGGAGGTCGTTCAGGACGTGGAGCGCTTTTTGAAAACGGTTTTTTGCATGATGTGGGGTTACGTGCATGGAGTACCAAACTGGTGTTCATTTTTCCCTAGTTAGTTAGCGCGGCATCACCTCCGCCATTCCTCAGATACTCCGTTTTCATTGTTGGAAGCTGCTTGGAGCCCAAAGCTTGGCTATGGCGGAATGCCATTAACATGGGAAGATGGAAAGTCTTCCACGGTGCTGTAGCGCAATCGCACAGCAAAAGCGCCGAGATGTTGAGTCCCACCTGGGATCAAGTCTTCTTCCCGTTACTTATAATTTTTGTGATACTCTGATTTCATTTGACGATACCTATAGTGGCAGCCCTCAGGCAACACCACAGTGACTTAAAGGCACGCTCCGCGATAAAAAGCTTAGGTGATGTTGCAGAAATGTGGAAGAAAATTCGCCAAGTGAACCGTCTATGAAGAGAAATGCCAAAGGGAACGTTGGAAACGCATTCGTCAGGCCTCCTCTAGCCTCAAACAACTGTAGAGGTAAAAGACCGAAAAGACCGCGCGCTGGGACGATTCCGTCGGCTGATTCCCAGTAATGAACCCTATGACTCTACAAGAGACACTGAATGCATCCACTCCATGATACTTGCCCGGGAGCATTACTTTTGGCTGGAAGGCCGACTTTGGAGGCGGAGTCTGGAGGCGGAGTCACTGGAGAGGGAATTGACCGCTGAAGGCAATTTTGCGCCTAATTCGTTTACCGCCCTCCCATTCAACTTCTCCTCGCGGAGCTACACAGGGTTTGTCCATTCCGAGGCGCGCACTACCTTCCACCCCTCTCTCTCTCTCATCTTGTCCTGAGACGGAGCCAGTCAGGCGTGCGCTTTTGAGCATAGGCCTAGCCCACAGCTTACTCGTCTGGGATACTATCGATTTGAACCCCCATAATCATGCCCCTCCTCGTCGTTGGTTAGCATCGTAAAACGAGTGATTCACCCGACTGCCTTCAAGAATGTAAACATTTTCACGAAGTCGTCGTGAACCGCCTCATTGCAAAATTGAATTATGCAGCCACGCGCTACCCGTAGTCTCAGGGACTTCTCGAGTGATAACCATCCACCGCGGACAGTTCCCTTTTTACCCAATGCTACGCTCTTCAGTTCAATTCATGCTAATACTTTCCATTTCTACACATGAGTACACACGCCTGGAGCGTGGAGGACTGCACACACTTCCGAAACACCTGAACACCGAAAGCTCGCTCCCCCTCCTCCCACTTTGTCAATTGCGTTTTAGGCCACACAATATCACCACTTTTGCAACGCGGAAACCCTGTGCACGCCTGAATGCCTGCGACTAAGGCCATCACTGTGTGCTCTGGTCTTAAATGTTTGTCTCTTATGCATGAGTAGCAAAATATCGGACATTGTACCAGCCCCATTTCGCTTGCCTGCAGCATGGTGGCGGCTTGAATGAGGCTGATTTGGCGCGGTACCCCTCTATCTTGCTCCGCCTTAACAGTTGACTTTGGATAAAGGGTGTTAGCAATGTTAAAGCAAGCCCACTGATACATCATCTGCAACCTAAATACTGTACTTCGCTAGCATCGCGAACCCTAGTACTGGGGAAATCGCGTTCAATGGTCCTACCCATTCTAATCGAAGCAAACTGCAGAGAAATATGGAGCTGCCAGCTCCATCTAGGCAGAAACGTGCAGAGAAACTGCTCCGAGCTTCAAGCGACCACGTGAGAGATGAGGGGTACAAGGCAGTAGGTCCTCGATTTGCCAGAGATTCAGCCCGGGTTCCGTTGGAACGTGCTCGCGCGGCACCACCTCCACCATTATCCAGATACCGTGGAGTTTCATTGTTGATAAAGTCTGCTGGCGCCGTAATAGACCTCGGCGTTTGTTCTGCAACAAAATGATATTAAGGGAAGATGGAAATCTTCCACGGTGCTGTAGCGCAATCGCACAGCAAAAGCGCCAGATGTTGAGTCCCACCTGGGATCAAGTCTTCTTCCCGTTACTTATAATTTTTGTGATACTCTGATTTCATTTGACGATACCTATAGTGGCAGCCCTCAGGCAACACCACAGTGACTTAAAGGCACGCTCCGCGATAAAAAGCTTAGGTGATGTTGCATAAATGCAGATGGTGGGGCTTGAATGAGGGCTGAGTTTGGCGCGGCGTCCTTGCTCCGCTTCAACAGTTGATTGGAAAAGGGTTAGCAATGTTAAAGCAAGCCCACTGATACATCATCTGCAACCTAAATACTGTACTTCGCTAGCATCGCGAACCCTAGTACTGGGGAAATCGCGTTCAATGGTCCTACCCATTCTAATCGAAGCAAACTGCAGAGAAATATGGAGCTGCCAGCTCCATCTAGGCAGAAACGTGCAGAGAAACTGCTCCGAGCTTCAAGCGACCACGTGAGAAGATCTTTACGAAAGTTTCAAAATTATGATCTGCGTTTTCACATAAAAAAAGCTTTCTGGCATTTCGTTCTCAGTTTTCAGAGTGACATCGTTGCAGTTTTAAGAAAGTTTATTGTACAACTTTAACATTAAATTTTACTGAGTTAGAAAATTTATCAAAACAATCGAAACCTAAGGATAATTAGTCAAAATGTAACGGTGACGTCGGGAGCACTTCAAGCTCACAATCTTCCTCAGTCGTTTCCAGGAAAGCCAACTCCATTGCCGATCCCTTCAAGTAAATGACAAACAAGTAGGTGAAATCTGTAATGCATAAGGTCTACCCGCTTGAGGGACACAACGAACCTTGGAAATCATCAAACAAGTTTTCTGGTTCAGGCCCTTCCATCGGAACGCCTACTCTCGGTTCCTTAGGTCCGCCTAGAAAGCAACCACGTCTTGGCCTAAACTGACGGACGGCAAATCTTAGGACACGATAGACCTGAATAGATGCATTGAACTGCCTGCTAGTAGGGCACCACGGCTAGAATCGGAAGAAAAGATGATGAATAGCGTGTGGGTATCTCACTTTAGGATCTTCCGCCTTCAAAGCTTTGATAGCTTCCCTCATCTCGAGTCTCGTCTGGTCTTTGTTCTCCATTACGGCTGAGATCTTTTCTAGTGCCGCTGGCAGGGCGCTAATAAGTTCTGTTACATTCTTCTTGAGCTCATCCTTGAGCTTAGTCATGTTGGTGTTGAACTCCTGA